ATTTGCCTGAAAAAATGAATCATGTTACATCCACAAGCCAAAGAGTTTAAGTCACACTTTTGAGAATTGGTAGAGCTAAAACTCAAAATAATGAGGAACATAAGTTGTATAAACTGCTGTTTTGTTTTGTAAAAAGGAAAAAGATTTGATCTAGTTATAGTTTTCAAAATGTGACTGATGACCTTTTTTTTTAAACTATGACCACAGTCTTACTCTCCCTAAATCAAAACAAAACTTAACCATAGTAGTGTCTAATGAAAAAATACTGATGACAAAAAAGACATGCATTGTTTAGGTCAGATGGCTTGTTGCCCTAAAGCATTGCTGTGTACAAATGATCAAAATGGTTGCTTGAGCTTGAAGAGGGCTAGGTATGTTTATTTCTGGCTGGTAGTACTGTATTATTTAGGGGAGGCTATGGCTTAGGAGCTAGATCTGGTTTCCTGTAATCACAAGGTTTGATTCCCAGCTTCTTCAGTCCACATGTTGAAGTGTCGTTCAATGTCCGGTGGTATGTGTGAATGGTGAACATGTGTGCGAATGTGAAGAATGAGCAAATACTATAAAGCCTTTTGAGTGTGCTTGTTTGCGTAGTACAAGTCTATTCGGTGTTGGCTTCAGAGAATGGAAAAGGTAAACCCAGAAGAAAGCAACAACAAGGGCGAGTGTAAGCGGAGAGATGAGGACATTTGACTTCTATTGAATATTTATGGAGAAGCTTCTGATCAAGCCAAACAGGAAGCAACATATAGCTGAACACAACTGGACTGTTGCTCAAATGATGTTGTTCTTGTACACAGGCGGCTCAGATTTCAGTAAAATCTGCACACGCATGACAGTTCAAGACCTAAATGGTGTTCAAATCAGAGCTGGATACATACTGTACCCTTTACAAACATGAATGTGAACCATCAACACAGAAAAACTGATATCAGAATTGAGCACTAAGGTCTGTGATGTATGCGTAGTCTTAATAACTATCACAACTACATGGACTTTTAAAGGGGAAAAGTGTTGTCTGACATTGCACTTCTTTTTTTCAGTTGTTACTAATATGATGGGGAAGTCTGATATTGTTTTCCCTTTAATTTGCCACATATTTGCTCACGTGGAACCACACGGTCTTTTGGTTATGCTGACCTTTCTGATCCCGGGGTCACCTGATGAGTTTTAACCATAATCCCACAACCAAAGGCCGAGCAGGAAGTCAACATTTCTCTTCAATACAAAAGATCTCGCTGACTTCCCCTGTTTACTCCCCGCCCCTGCACAAACTCATGGCACACACACATGCATTGGCCACACACACACAAAAACAGGCACATGTAGGCACAGGCAAACATGCACACAGAGCAGCTGTTTAAACTCTGCTCCCAGTGAGACTGCACACTGCTGAAAGGCGGCCTCGAAGCAAACACGCACAGAAACAAGCAAACAAATAAGCCTCAGTAAACAATATATATGTAAACAGATGTAGATCCGTGTAAGAGCACTTCAAGACACAAAATCATATATACCCCTCCCTTTTTAATGCCTCTGTGCTAGTGATAGCCGCAACCGTTCATCCAGCCCATTCTTGTGAACGCGATATCTCTGGAACGCCTTGAGGGAATTTCTTCAAATTTGGTAAAATGAACTTAGTAGATTTTGGTGGTCAAAGGTCATGGTCAGTGACCTCACCTCTGTCCCATGCCTCTGAATTTGACTGGTTGGCGGAGGCGTACAACCGTGGAGCAGCAATTCTTTTAATGAAAGTTTGTGCTCCTAGTGCACGTCACCCAAATCTCAAAAGAACATTTGTTAACCTGCAGATAAATTTGGCTTTAATTTATGAGCTATGTGTAACTGATGTCAGATTACAGTTTCTGTTAATATAATGAGGAAATATTAATTTGCATATTTGGCAACTTGCAAATACATACCGAACATACAGTATCAGCAGGGATATGGAAAGACTACTGGAAAACTGTGCACGAGTAAGAGTACTGTTACTTTTAAAGCAAATGTAATGTAAGTAAAATTAGACTACTCATGCTAAAATGTAAATGCTAATTAAAATGTAGGCTACTCCTAGGTAACATTACTGCTTACATTTTAAATATATCATGGTAGTATCACTGTTATATGATAGCAGTCTGTTTATAAGCCCATAAAAGATGTAGATTTTCATTAATGTTACACTGTAAGTTGGTGTAATCAGGCTTTTACAGATAAATAAGTCAAGCGCATGTCTGATTACAGTCGGCAATAACTGCTGCTCTAAATTATGCTCAACACACTACACAACATTGTCTGTGGTTATTAATGGCAGAATATACTAAACAGCATTATGAAGTTTTGTATTGAACAGTATCATTAGGTCAAAGGTAAAATTTGAAATGGCTCCTTTATTCATGGATTTTATATTAAAATGATGCGATAAATCACTAACCTTTCTACATTCAGTAGATTTCATTTTATGTTATTATTTATTAGTAAGTTAGCCAAAGGATTAACTGACTGAGCATAAAATAATTAACAGATTAGTCAGCAGCAACAGAGTAATTGATTAAAAAAAGATGATTTTCAGCAGACATTTTGGACGTCTGCACACAGTTCTACAGGAGTTTTCATGTGGCTCATAAAACCAGGTGGATGGAGACATGCCTAATGTTACTCAAACTGCTTAAGATGCCAAGACTGCTCTCTTATGAACAAATACATTTGAATGTGGGTGTGTGCGCGCACTATCTGTCTGGTTTTATCTTTCCACCGCTCCTCACTCTCTCTCTCTCTCTCAGGATTAAACATGTTTATCAATTATCACTGCATCTTGCCTCAAGCTCTTAGTACGCCACACAGCTAATTGAATCATTAAACAATCGCTACTCCTCAGGGAGTATGTTCGCTTGTGACTGTGTGTGTGTGTGTGTGTGTGTGTGTGTGTGGTGGATGGGGTGAGGGGGGAGTTGTTTGCAAACATGATAATACCCACGGGTGCCTGCAATGCACTTGTCAGATCTGTTTATTAATTTTGGATGCACGCACACACACACACACACACACACAGATGGGTCCTGGCAGCACCATGTGTTGGTCACGGCTGGGAGCATCTCCTGTTCTCACGATGGCAACTTGTCGACTCACACTGGTGTGTGTGTGTGTTGCACAACAGTGCTAAAATATGTCTGGTCCTGCTATGCACAGGGTATGTGCAAGACCATAAAACATCTTTAAATTTGATCTCATGACCTCCTAAAGAACATTTGAGTAAAGTACACATTTAGTCTACACATCATCAATAATGATTATGTGTGGCTTGGCCAAGACTAGGTTATATGCTGAGAAGTGTAGCATGGAGGATCATTACAACACATCTCTACACACAACTGCATAACAAAACTTTATATTTACCTTTCTGTGCTTTTTGACGGGCGGTCCTTTCAACCTGTGACCATTGTACTTTTGCCTCGATGGATAGGGCCAAAAATACATTTGAGTGACTTGTATTTAAAGCAAGATTACTTTGTGGCGGTACACTTGTTCACAAAAGTGTCTGTGGATTTTGATAGATGACATGTTTAAGTCTCCTCAAATGATAATGTGATCAGAGAAGACAAATTTGTTCCCATACAACTGAGGAAAACACAATGGTGCTTTAGCTGTGGATCTACCCTAGTTGTTTTGAGTTTTTGTGGACATCTTCTATTTAACCTGAAGAGAGGTCAGTAGTCTCATGTGCATGTCTGCCCGAATGGACTTGGTTCTTACTAGTAAGAGTTTTTTTTTAAGCTACACCACCTAATTTCTTTTCACCCTAGAGGGTCTAATGGGACTCAAAAAACAAAACAAAACAAAGCAAAACTGACACCAGAAGCCGCTCCTACCTGCTCTTTGTCCCTCTCATCACATTGTGTTTCCAAGCAACAATGCAAACTACGGATGCCTGCTTGCAACAAACTGAACAAAATACAGCCTCTAGTCAGCTGAATAATGTGTCAGTCTACTCGAACACTCTGGTTACTGCTAAAGTGATGCCAAGCATTAACATTACACAATTCTCAAATTACTCCCAAATTAGATTCATATGAATTCGACACAAAGGTAAAATCATGATTAAGCTAAATCACTAATGTTACCAAAACAAACACGTTAGCTTTAGATGCTAACACATCCAGAAACCACCTCTGAATCAAATCTTGGTCCTTTAGGTGTTTTCAACCCTCTCTAACTCAATAAGCCAAACTGATGTTAACCCCGGTTTATGCTCTTTCTTTGTCCCACTCTGTGCAAAAGACACCACCTCTTCAATCTGGCAGCCCCTTGTTCAGACGTTTACCTGCCCAGAGCTCCTCCATGGCTGTTTGATATAACTACTCTTGGTTTGAAAAACCCTTATAACCTTGGCTAGGTGACAGGTGGATGAACCTCTAATATTTAATATTTTCTTTGGGCTATATGGAAGTATTTTGAAAATGCAGACCAAGTGAATACTGTGGATATGCCTGTAGGTAGAGTCTTTAGGTGCTGACACAACTTTTCCGATGAAGAAAAGCAGTTTTGATGGCAGTAATCCCAAAACAAAGGGTTTAGTTTCACCTTCCTATGAACATGAAAGTTTGCATCTGTATTAGGAATCTTCTGAGAGTGAGAGAGAAATCCAGATCCAGCAGAGTGACATGAAAATTAAAGGGCGAGAGAGAGTCAGGGAGAGAAAGAGGAGCAGGAGTCCCCCCTAGCCCCTTTTTGTGACCGATTTGTCACTGTGACAACCATCGCCCCACCTTATTCTGGGATGTCCTGTAGTTATGTTCTTCAATTATGTCTCCTTCTTTAATGTTGCAATTGCACATCCATATTTAGTCAACCGCTGCGATTTTAGCTGCCGTGTTGAAATGCAACTGTCTCAGCCTGGAATCAAAGGGCAGACACAGAGATTCCTGAGGCACACACACACACACACACACACAGAGAGAGAGAGAGAGAGAGAGAAAGATTTACATTTATATCTATATTCTTTCAGGCTACATCTGCAATTTGAGCCACAACAGGGAGGGTTTCAGCATGCCAAGCATCTTTCAAGGAAGATATGAGGTATGGCAATTTATCCACTCAACACAAGACATTTTATTTTTGTCTGCACTGTAACCCCTGAAAATGGACCGGGGATATGAGCAAAAGACTGACATCTGCTGCAACAGAGAGGGTGGAATAGGCCACATGTGAGTTAAAGCCTCCCTATTGCTGATTTTTTTTTTTTTTATCATAAGCTTTCTAATAATGTCATGCTTCAGTAAGAGGATATATGTGCATTCTCTGCACAGACACACAGATAGAAGGGAATTTTAAATAAGTGTAAATAATCAGGGTATGAGGAGATGGGTAAAATTAACGTATCTTGCTTTGAAGCGTTTTTTTTTCACCACTCAAAATCTGTAAAAGTATTGAACTTATCACTTATTTGTGACTGAGATCTGCATGTTGTTTGAAGATATTTCCTTAAGCTGTGTGTATGTGCAACTACTTTTCAGGATCAGTTAGATAAGAGTAACTTCAGGGTAGCGTTTTGTGTCATAATGTGACTTTTGAGGAGTACAAGACCTGAAGTGACAAACCCAAAGAATTATCACCCAAACCGTCAGGTCTGAGGCCCACAGCTTGACTTTTTGGTTCACTCTCACCATTGACCTTGTATCCAGCGTAGTCATATAGCTATAAACAAACAAAAAGCTTCCATACACTATGTGTCATAAAACAAATAACAGAAAATGTTAGTGTTAAAGAAAGCAGAACCTCTTGCAGCTAAAGAGCCAAGACCCGTGGAGACCAAACCGGACTGGGCTGGAATTGAACACTGGACACACTTTCACCAACGTACCAGAAAATACTCCAAATGAATGTCAGCTTTCCTTCTTGTCTGCCAGTGCAGCAGTTTGCTAACACATTCAAATGTTGAACATTCTGAGTTTATAAAATTGTGATTACATTAAATTAAATAAAATTAAACAGTTAATGCTTTAAATCATCGTCATACTGCTGCCCCACTGTCTCATGACACATTCCTGAGGATGAACCGATCAAAAAGAGCCAGCTTCGCAAATTGATCAACTTTTATCGTGACAATCTGACATCTGTTTTCACAAACCAAAAAGATTTCTGAATTTGATTCATTCTTAAATATTTTGTTGAGTGCATGTTTTCAATTGATGGTTGACTCTGACCTGCAGGTGTTTGAAATTACAAAATGTAAATGATGACCACGTGTTAATTCGCTTCTGACCCACAAAATTGCCAGCTAAAATTTTGGTGAAGGAAATGAATGATTGTAGAAAACAGTGAAACCGATTAAACTCGGCGAGTTCAGTCTTTCTGCATTAATATGTGTGTGTAACTTTAACATGTTTGAGCCTGTGTTAGTTGATCTGGCACTGCTACTAATTGACAGTGATAACGCCTACAGGTGTGCACACAGAGTACAACTGTGTGTTTGTTTAAAGAAATCTGAGAACATTAATTAAATTAAATGCAAAGCAAATATCACACAGGTTCCTTTCCTTCCCCCCGTCTCTCTCTCTCTTCCTCACACTTGGAGGAATCTCCCTCAGCCCGGGCCAAGAGGTGTGGAGGAGATGTGCTGCTTGCAGATGTTAGTCCTCAGAGGTGTGACAGGATGACCTTTAAATCATACACATGTTCACTCACTAAGACTGACTAAATGGGTGAGATAAAAGAGTTCAAGTACCTTACAGTCCAATGAACATGCGTATGTCAAACTATGTATATGCTTTGATTTACTGTTTGACACTTCAAGTTCTCAGAAGTTGGCCCGAGATTAGTCAGATCATTTTGTTAAAGAATACAAGGCAAAGATGTAGCCAGGGGGATGGATTTTGGATCTAAACCCCCACCCCTGAAATATTTTAGACATCATCTTGTGTGTCTCTTTTAAGAAAGCAGTACAATAATGCACCAGACAGGAACAACATGTTATTAACATGAAGGAAGTTCCTTGGATAAAACATGTCATCCATGCTTTTTGATGGTAGTGGTGAACCAGATCGTAGTTGATTACAGGTTCTATCCTGATAGCTAAAAGGATTAAATCATTTATTCATTCATTTCTACCGTTTGTTCCCTGAGCGGGGTCACTGGAGCCAATCCCGGCCGGCAATCGGGCGAAGGCGGGGTACACCCTGGACAGGTCGCCAATCCATCGCAGGGCTAACACATAGACAAACAACCACACACACCTATGGGCAATTTAGAGACACCAATGAACCTAAGCTGCATGTCTTTGGACTATGGGAGGAAGCCGGAGTACCCGGAGAGAACCCACGCAAGCACGGGGAGAACATGCAAACTCCACACAGAAAGGTCCCAGGTGGGGCCCGAACCTGGAACCTTCTCGCTGTGAGGCAACGGCGCTAACCACTGTTCCACCGTGCTGCCCACTTGATGTTAAATCATTTACTTTCTTTTAAATAAAGGCTATTTTGTTACATTTTTGCCCTTCATTTTGAATAGTTGATAAAATGGAGACAGACAGGAGACATGGATTCTGTGGCTGGAATCAAATCAGGGATGTTGCAGTTATTTGCTATGCTCCTGAAGCCATCGGACAACCAGGAGACCCCACTCACCTGCTTTCTTGCCTTTTCTTATTTGTTATTGCATTTGGTTTTATTTTTCAGATAGAAACTGCAGCTGAGACACATGAAAGCAGTTTATACTTAGATTCTGATCAAAACTTTGGTTCTTTGCTTCAATTCATCTGATGAAAAGGTATTTTAGATTTTTGTGAAAGTTTGAAAATTACGCTTGACAGCTGGATGCAACGTGCAGCTAATCAAGTCTCATTTAACACACCTGTTGTGTTGTTGCTCCTCCCTCAGGGCAGTTAGTTTGGGGGTAGAGGCAGAAACTGACACTGTCACGACTCAGATGCTGGTAATTCTGCCCCATGGCTGCTGGCCATTTTGGCAGCAGGCCAGTCTGTATTATTCTCTCAGTCTTGTCTATTGTAAAACCGCTTTGACTTGCTGCTGTGGACAGTTGACAAAAAGATAAGTAACCACTTTTAACTACAACAGCAGCAAAGTTGAGAGATTATTATTAAAACGTTTTCTGCTCATTCATGCACATAATAACCTTAAAATCATCAGATCAAAGTACTGGGATTAATTTGAACCACACTAGTTATATTAAAAGACATTCAGACAATCACATAACGTGTTTTTGCAGATTATGGCCCTGATATCAAAGGGTTTGTGTAAAAACGTGAAGGTGTTTGAAAGTGAAAACACACAGAAGAAGCTAATTAATTTGTTTGCTGGCATGTTGGAGAGAGAAAACCAGTCCTTGTTCCCTTCATCTCTGCAACACCTGGGTCTTAAATGTCAGACCTGTTTCACCTGGAACTGCAGAGAGGGCAAACAAACATGAGCATGTGTGGGTGTGTGTCTACGTGTTGGAGAAGAAAATAGCAGAGAGACCTTTTGAAAGGTTATATGAGTTATCAAATTAAAAGCATGTTGCTAGTGTGTAACCTAAAAGCATGGCCAGTCTTTCTAGAGCAATAAATGCAGAGTCTCTGCTTTCCTGTTGAATTTGACTCCTGAAGTCACTTTAAGGCCATGGTTCTCAAAGTGTGGGGCGCGCCCCACTAGTGGGGAATAAAGACATGACAGGTGGGGCGTAATGAATGGAGAAAATTAGAAATGGGTCATTAATACAAGTAAATTAAAATAACATCAGTTCAGGGCCTGGGAGAAAAAAGTGGAACCATAGTGCAGCAATAACGGTTTAACGTCGACATGTTAACTGCAGCGCAACAATATAAGGAAACATTTACACAGAGGGCCAATAGTGTACGCAGTGGGCATAATAACGTAAATGGATAAATTTATTACATGGACCACAAAAAAAGCAGGTGATTCAGTGCAAGCAGACAAAGAAACGACCGGCAGTAAAGTCTTATCAACCAAAAAGCCAGCCGAAAAGAAAATATGATGAAGCCTATCTTGCGCTTGGATTTACGGCGGGAATGGTGGGGGCAGAGGAGGGACCCATGTGTGTCTTGTGTCTTAAACCGCTGGCAGCAGACGGCACGAGACCCAACAAATTAAGAAGACATTTAGAGACAACACACCCCAGTCACATTAATAAGTCACTCGACTTCTTTGAAAGAAAGCTGACAGAAAACCATCAGCAGAAAAATCGCATGGTAAAATCTGCATCAGTGGACAGCAAAGGACAAATGGCTTCATTCAAAGTTGCATATAGAATTGCACAGTGCATAAAACCACAAATTGCTGAGCAGCGAAATCTCCCTGTAACTGTAGACATGGTGTCGATTATGCTGGGTGACACAAGTGCTGCAAAATTGAAAACTTTCCCTCTCAAATGATACAGTTGTACTTATATTTTATCTGTTTTGAACTTGGTGTGATTTGATATTTCAATCAATTTGATGTTGTAAAATTGGGCCATTTCGTTATCATTTTTATGACAAGTGGGGCTTGAAAATTTGCTCACCCTCTTAAGTGGGGAATGACAGAAAATGTTTGACAACCACAGGTTTGTTGTATAAGGCAAAATCAGCTCTGCATACAATATTGCGTGGTAGAAATGAAGACATGCTGCACTTTCAGCTCATTCTGTGCCACTGATATCCACAGTAAATCAACATAGTAATCTTTAAATAAGTTTGTTCTTGATTTGAACTTTGATACTCAACAAAGATAAAAAACTTTGATAAATTCAGGCAAAGTTTTACTTTTAGTTTGGTAATAGGTGGCAGCTGAGCAGATTATTGGACTGGAATGGGAAATGTTTAATGTTCTTTTGCTTAAAATTTTCAAAAGAAAAAAATTTAAACTGATGTCTCTGATTGATCCTGTGCGGCTGATCATTCTGATTAAATCCGGTATTGACACAGTTTGTCAGGATTTGTTTTCGGATACAGGTCACTCTGTCGGTGAAGCCAGTTTTGTATAAAGCATAATGTAGCATTATCACTGATATGTATCATGGGTGCCAGAGTTGTCTTTAAAAGGTGGTGTGTGGTGAAAAAGTATGCACATAACATACAAATTTTCTTCTAAAGAACAATTTTGTGAGCTCCCAGAAGCTTTTTTTTTTTTTTTTTAAATACTAAATATCCATGTATAGGCTATTCTGACATTGTGGAAATGTATTTTTTACCTCAGTGCTTTCCCTGTATCTTCAATTGTTTGTAAACCTCAAACCTGTCTATAAAATAAGCTTCACTAAAAGGCAGTTTAAATCCTGCAGTGGCCTATCAACATGCACATCTGACCTGCTGTATACACACAAAAGCAGTACTGTACAAGCAGGTCCATTTGCATGCACGCACACACACACACACACACACACACACTGCTTGAATACACAGTCAGACAGGTGGTGTTGAAGAAGGGTGTGGTCATTGCCTAAAACTGAAGGGATTGGCTCTGACTGACAGGCCATTAGTTATCAGGGTTTGGTCATTCGGAATGCGCCTTGTACTAAATATAACACACACCTGCTATCACACACACATGCATGAGTGTGTGTTGAAACACAGATGCGTGCACGTGGGTCAGATGTGAACAGAGACACTCATTCAGACATTTTTAACTCTTAACAAGTTTGCATGCTGAAGTAACGCTGCAATTTACAAACATAAACTTTAACCTTCAGCAGACACCAGTGCTGTGTTCCCATCAGACATATAGAAGAGCGCATGGTGTTCAACTGCCGTGCACCTGGGAATGCTTTGTGACATGAACTGGCTTATATACAAAAGCTAGGTCAAGCTTTATTAACAGAATATTTACATCTCATGGATCATACAACAGAAACTCTCTGTATGTTGAAAATCAAGGTTTCAAATGTAAAAAAATGTTTGTGTGAATGTTATGCACAAGGTCTTGGCGATACCGTGAAAAAAAATAGACACAAAGTACATTCAAACACAGAAAACATGATGTCTTTCCTTCAAACTAAAGTTTTCTAAGCATTCCAATGTGTTTTGTCAAATAATGTTCGGTCATATTCAGCTCAACTTGCGTTCATTTGTTAATAACTGTAAAGAAAAGCCGAGGTAGCGACCACTGTGGCTGGATGCTTTTCATCTATTCTTTGTACCTATAAACTCAAGAATCACAAGCAAGCCTTTGCTGTGATGAATGATCAGGGCAAATCAAAAATCAAGACTTAAACACCTTGACACACAAGTATTGTGACTACGTAACACTAACAAATAGCACAGCAGGCAAAAAAACTTTTTTACTTTTTTATTTAAACTCTAAACGCAGGTGATATCAAACCAGCAGTGGGTGACATTTAGCTTAAAATTATATAGGAAGATTACATTTCTGGAAGAGAAACGGTGAGAAAATGCATGTCTCCACTTCCTCAATCCATTTAATTTAACATCTGGCCCGGTGCCCAACTGTATTGATAAAAAGTTGTCTTTCATGTTAGCAGTTGACGTTAGCATGATGAACAAGATACAGTCACAATGAAAACACAGTACAGCACTGAATGATGTAGCTGTGACAGAGAATGCAACACGCACATGTTTGCTGCCAGATAGCAAAAAATAAATGACTTAAGATGATAATGAATGTGATGCAGAAATAGTTTGTGTTAAACACACAGACACACACACACACACACACACACACACTATCTCTCTGTCACAGACTCACACACGAACAACAAACACTTGATGAGAATAAAACAGAGATAAATGCATACTTACTACACTCAATTAATAGCATTGCTTGAAATGCGTCATGCAATTAGCAAACGCTAAATCACTGCCCTTTAAAGATACCGTAATGGTGACTACTAGCTTTTCTAAAAACAGATAGCAGCGTTGTCTTGCTAGATGCCAGTGAACAATACCAAAACCATTTTCTTAATTATCTCCTCTGGAACTAATGTTGCAGATATGTGTGTGAATTAATTATTGGGGCTTGATATAAGAGAGAGAGCAAGCATTATCCCCCAGAATCTTTTTTCCCCACTCGGCAATAATTAAGGCAGAGGCAACTGTCAGTCTCTCGACGAGACAAAACCATGATTTCCAGAAATCAAATTAGCACTGCAAACAGAAAAAGAGGAGGGACAGAGAAATCAACAAAAGAGCCAAGATCTTATTGTGAGCGTTGGTTAGAGACGCATTACAGCACAGAACGTTTCTTTCTTCCATTTGCCGTGTTTTATTTAGTCTTCCTATTTTTCAGTGCAGTGGCTTTCCTGTAGGCAGCTCTGTGGTTGGGGGTCATCTTTGTTTCATGGTAACACACTCTCCTTAGCTGCTTGCCATAATGAATATGACCTTGTGAGTTGCTCTCACTCACACTCAGCTCCAGCTCCTCTTTCTATCTTGCTGTAATCACAGTAATTGAGTGATCACACCTCAAACCAAAGCTGTATTCACCTTGTTGTCAGTCTCACTCTCAGTCCAGCGTAGGTGTACTGTATATATGTTTATGGTTCCTCTCCTCCAAGTCCTTCGTTCTCTCTCACCATCAGAGTGCCTCGGAGTTTCTCCAGGATGCTCCCTACTTTTATGTTTTCTGCAGGGCGATGGCTGGAAAGCGCATTGTATGAAACAGAGGCAGTGGAAACCATCACTTAGAACTAGATAAATGTTTTTGTCTGTCTGTGTCAACAGTTTTTCTAAAATTCTTCTCCAGGAAAATTACTTGACGTCACATTCATAGCAAATGGAACACAGTGTACAGTACCTTGCATTTTTCTTTGTGAGTAGCAGTAGTTAAAGCATGGTTTTCACCCAACAATGACCATGATGGGAGCAGATTTGGATTTTTTAAATCAGCATTAAGCAGTTCACCAAATAAAGTAATAAATCCAGAGCAGTAAAACCTTTTCATAGTTTGTATGCACATCCAGCAGACTAATTTGCATCTGTGTACATTCAGATTGTTTTAGCAAGACAGCTATATGGAGTTTTAAAGCTAATTTGTTCTCAGCCTAGAGAGTCTAGTGAGACTCCAAAAAACAAACAAAAAATGGTCAAATTACATGCAGATTAAAATTGTATTAATTCAATACAAAGGTAAAATCATGACCATGCTAGGTCACTAATGTTACCAAAACAAACACTTTAGCTTTAGATGCTAACACATCCAAAAAAGAAAAACACCACATCTGAATCAAATTTGAGACCTTTGGCTGCTTTTAACACTCTCATCTCAAAAAGCCAGCAGTTTTGTAAAAAAGAATGCCACCTCTTCACTCTGGCAGCCACTGTTTCAGACTTGTAGCTGCCCAGAGCTCCTCCTCCTCCAATAACGACTCGCGGTTTGAAAAATGCTTCTTATGACCCTCGCTAGGTGGCAAGCAGAGCTAATTTATGGACTGTACTTTAGCTGGAATAACAACAGAAGGGCTGTAGGCCATAGAGTCATGGAGGGGGCTAGTATAGGTGAGAGACACCATGTCCGCTCCCATTTTCACTTCATTTTATCAGACACTGCATGAAATCTTGCCAGTCTTTCCAACGGACACCATTTTTCATTGCAGTTACTCTTTATGGTTTATTCATCTCAGAAACTATACTGTCTCTAGACAGTATAGTTAGAGCAGGATTTCTAGGTGCTAAGCACAAAGGTCCTGCTCTATCTCAGATACTTCTGCAGCCCTTGTCAGTTCCTGGACTTAGGGCTTTCATACTTTAGGCTAGGATTTCTCATGTGCTAAGCCAAGTGAAGGCCAACACTATCTCCACACCAACCACCCATTCCCTATGTATAGTCTGTCAAGTTCAATTTTATCTGGAATACCTTCTTCAAGACTTTAAGACATCTAGCTACTAGCTGCCGTTGTTACCCCACTGGCTTTTTCCTTATGTTGCTTCACTTATATCAGTGAAAATACCAAACTGAAATGTAAATAAATGATCCTGCTTTGGACAGATGGGTCTTTTGCTCAGTTATAACATATATATATGGTTTTACACTGTGCATTAAATGGTAAATACATCACTCCAGAATTTCATTTCTATTAGAGTAAATGTTGTGAGACCAAATGGAGACTGTTTTACAGTCTGCACCTTTTTTGATTTTCTGTCTCTCTTTTGTATTTTTCAGCATTCAGCAACATCATTACTTCTTTGGAATCTGTGTCCAAATTCCTGAACTGGTGAGTACACATGCAGTACCTGTTCAGCACTCACTTCACATGCTGCTTAGATGTGACCTCTCACTCTTCATATGTCCCCATGCACAACACACAAATACATATTCCCAAACTGAAACTGAGGTTGAGGATTTTGCTAAAAGAAGAGCAGGCGAGTTAGAGTCCAACAGCTTGAGGCCACCATAGATCTGGACCAAACCAAGAACCAGTCTGGTCTCACAGACAACTTGTATGTACACACTGCATATTACAGCATACAAGCCAATCCATCATATCATGTGTCACTGCAGCTGTAGGGTAAACAGGATTATCAACACGTATCCTCCTGTCAATGACCACAAAGCTGTGATAAGTCCTCACTCCTCCCCAGCTCCTCAGTCCTTCTCCACCTCTCACACACATCCATTTGTTTCTCATTCATCATGCTGGTTTGTCAGAGTTCCAGCTCTGTCAGCCAATTAGATGATAAGGCCTGACATTACAGGGCGGACCTCACTGTGTGAGTGTTACCAAGATCTCTCTGATCTCGTTATCGACATTCCACCTATACACTTGTGCACTGTGGTCAGCAATCACACGTGCACAGAGATACTGGTCAACATTTCTAATCAGAGGAAAATTTTGTCTCACCCAAGTGGACAAAATAGGTGGCCCTCTTCATCTTTGTTTTTTTGTTTGCTTCTTTTGCTCTCTTGCTTAGAGTCTAGTGTTGGCAGAAAATAATGACAGATGCAAAACAGAGGAAGAAGAGCAAAAGGAAGGATTTGAGAATCTTTAAGACACACATGCCATATCCATGAATGAATACATTCCCCATTATTAGAACACAAACAGCATCCCACTGCACTGCAAAGTTAGCAAGCAGGATTAAAGAAGAAGGAAGGGGAGAGAAAAACAGAGCAATAACAACTTTAAAAGAAAGACTGTGCTTGTTTGGCGAGCTGCAGCATTAAGTAAAGACATGGAGACAAATTTACATATGCTCAAAGCCCAGGTAGAAACACACATGTATGTGCAAAACTTGCAGTATATGCACCCAAACCATAAATGCACTCTACAGACTCTCACACACATACACACACCTTCCACATTCACCCTTACGCACACACATGCACTCCACCTTTTGCACACACAGTCACCCACTTACCCACTCAGTCACTCCACCTTACACACTCACACACACACACACACACATATCCCACCCACCCCACCCCTTCATTAATACTTTCCTCTCTAAAGCGAAGGAGAAAGCCCTCCAATTATAAGCGCCTCCTCAGCAGACTGGCTCAGGGCTGCATTTATTAGGAGCTCATTTGGCTAAGCAGGGCTAAACACAGCGCATCGTGGAGAGGTGGGTGGAGGGGGGCACAGGAGGAAATGGAAGATGCACCCTCTCGCTGTGTGTGTCTCTGTGTGACATTAAAGTGAACATCCTCATATTCTGTCCTAATCCAACCTGATTTGAGATGGCATAGGGGGTTTGAGAAGTCGCACTGTATTATTTGTTTATTGGGGGGGGTGGCATCTGCTTTCCCAGATTTACCGTCTTATACGGTCTCGAGGCACTTAATCGTCTCTCTTCCACTAAACACAACCCTTTTGCAGTTCAAAGCAGCAGAGCCTATATCTATCGCTAGCTATGTTATGATTAGTATTAATATCATCACCATATTCAAGGCTGAGAAGTCTGCGGAGGGAGCGAGGGAGGGGTGATCACGACAATACTGTTGCTGCCCAAATATAGAGGCTCACTCTTTGAAAGCATTACCTTAGCAAGGAGATGTCTGTCGTTTTAATCATCACCACAGCTCTGCCTGGTTTGAAGGGTTCAATGTGTTACTCAGCACTTTTGACAGATGGATTTTTTTTCGCCCCATGCCAGAAATTAGACAAACTCTGTTTTCTGTCTGCTTTTCATTTTGCATCCAGGAGACCTTGAAGCTGAAAGAGTATGGTAAATAATTTGAATAGTACAGGCCTGACACTGTAACCTCAAATGCAGAATTTGACAAATCCAACATTTCTGACTGCAGCAGCAGCAGTTTTCTCAGTTGGAATAGCATCTCAGGGCTGCTAACTGGCTGTAGCAATATGCTTCACAGAGCGTGAGAACCTTCAGGGGAGCTCGAGAATCCCCGAGAAAAAAAGACAATGTTTTAATTTCTTCAATGTCTACAAGTTAGCAAAATGCTGTAAAAAATCATAATGATTGTACTGTTATCCTCCATCTGTATACTGCGTAGTGCACATTGGTATACATACTGTACTGTAAGCAGGACTTCATGGTCTAATGCATTTGGGGATTTTTAATTACCAGCATCCAGTAGACGACTAAACAAAGGTTTAACACCGATTCCTCAATCTAAACTGATTATACTGAGCCGTCAGTGTCATCACTGACAAGATGAGACGCTTTCCGATGTCAAGCTCAGCTGTGGCATACAGAAGGTTACTACTGAAAGACAGTGGGAACAACAGAAACTATCATAATAACTATCGAATAGCTCTGATTAACTATACTTTAAATGAATTAAATGTGATTGTTCTCTGATGTGCATTTTACTGTATGTGAATCCACATCAGCTAAGTGATACCTGATTTTTCTGGATGTGAAAGACTTTGAGCTCCTTAGGGTCAGAATGTTCAATAGCATGTTATAGTAGATGTGGAAGGGCTGTTGCGTTGAAGGTTTTTTTTTTTTTCTTTTTTTCTGTGTATGGTGCTTGAAAAGAGAAGCTTGACCAAAACAGTTAACATTAGCTTTCTACTATATCTTCTGACCTTCCTCAGCTGTTGGACTTTAGTTGGAGTTGGAGGTTAGTTGTTATGATGTGACTTAAAAAAGGGCACACACACACAACACGGCTACACAACCATTTAACAACAGATATATTGCTAATTAACTTAAAGGCAGTACAGACGGTACTTTTGGCTAGTTACACTACTTACTGATGAGGTTTTTGATTGCCCAATCGGATCGTTATATTAAGTCCTAAAAATTATTCATGGTCTGTTTCTCTGTGAATGACCTTCACTGCCTTGCATCAGGATTAGATGGAGTTACAAACATTACAACAAAAACAGGAAGTGGAAATGGAAAAAGAACAGGGGGGAAACATCATAGTAGAAAAACTGTAAACAGAGAAAGTGACAAATTAATGCAAACACAGATTCATAAAAAAGGGCAACATTTCCAGAGAGACAGATTGAGCTGGATGGGGAAGATAAATATGGCAAGGATAATAATTGCCCTCCCTCTGTGGCACTCTGGTTTTTAAAGTGTGTTTTTACATGTCTGTGTCGTCGTGCTTCACAGCGGGCATCCGTGGCGTGGTGCCAAACTCCATCTCTCCTCACCAGGCCTGATAACCACCCAGCTATCTGCACCTGCTCCAATTATTATCCTATTAGCAAGAAATACCGCACAATTACTGCGAGAAACCCTCACACCCAGGCCATCGCAGGCTGTAATATCCCAGGGAGAGAGAAATTAGCAGGGTGCAGCAACAGCAGCGATCAGACAGTAATTAATCAGCAGAGACACATCTCTCCATGTGGAGAATATAGACTGATGCTGAACACCTTTAGCTCTAAAGGTGGGCTGATGAATGCAGGGGATGGTGGGAGGATACAGATGTAGCACAGGGGAGAAGAGATTATATTTTATTGCTAGTTTCTGTTGCACAAGTGGATGAAATTTCACCACCTCAGGTTTCTTGATAGCCACTCAAAAAACCTTTCAAAAGCTTGTTTGAAAGATGGAAACTTGACCATCAAAAACAGTCCTGGAAGCTGCTATGAACTGATATTGGAAGGATTTGTACTGTAGAATCCAAGTTTGCTAGAGACGGTGTCAAACAGAACATATGCCAACATATGGCTGGTTTCACTATATTCATTTTTAAAATTATTTTATAGTACTGACTCCACCAGATTTGGCCAAATAATAATAAACATGAAATAGGCTGCATCCTTTTATCTTTGTTTAAATCACTAAGGATTAACATAACCAGTGATTCATGCAGAGAATGGTGTAAGAAAAAATGAATGGACTCTGAACCGACTCTGACCTGGCGTTACAAGTCATTAGGTGAAGAATTAAAATAATCCTGTGCACAGCTGGAGACTGCATCCATCCAACTGGGTGCCAAAGGGGAACATGACTCTCAAATGTCACAAACATTTTTGCATTTTACTTTTTTTTTTAGAGATATCCCAATCGGATCCTAAGGATCAGTATTAGCGCCAATCTGGGCATATTTTACATGTATTACTAAATGCTCATTTGTCCTCCAGCCTACCATGACTCAGGTGTTTGAAGCTCATTGTACAATTTGACATAATGTACTGTAGTTAATTACAGATTAGATGACAAAAAAGAGAAATTTAAAATGACCATCTTTTACATCAGTATGAGTATTAGTGTATGACTGGACATACAATATAGTCGGCTGGTCACCAAGCACCTGGTGATGGTAAAGCAGAAATGACAGCTGATTTACTGCAAGCCTGACCTCACTATGTACAGCATGTATTAGACTTGTGCCTTATATCTAATAGTGACAAAACATTATAATACTTGTAGTGAAAGAAAACATCAACAGAAAATTTCCACTTCTCCACAAATGGTGACAATCTTCACAATTATATGCCACTTTTGTCTGAGAAATACATTTAAAACTATCTGTAAACATTTTTACTATCTTTTATTCTATAAACTCTAACCACCCTACACTGAGTCAATTGATGATTCATTCTTTACCTCTGCATTCAATACTGCTAAAGAAAATTCCCTCAAATTAAAGCTGAGGCTCTGTATGCTGGATTATTGTCTTGTATCATATCCAAAGCTGTGGGTTTACAAAGGCAAACATCAGCAGTTTGCCGGCTGATCAAAGGTACTAGATGGCTTGGGGTAAAACAAAATACAGCGTTGTCCACACTTGAAAGTTGATGCAAATTGCTCCCTAAATTGCACTTTCCTTTTTTTTTTATGTCTTGCTGTTTTGATGTGTGTTTTGGTAGTATGTGAGTTTTATCTTTTGTCATGTCTCTCCATCATCACCTTGACATCCCAGCAGACAAAGATTGCAGGCATGGTGCCAGAATAAACACTTCACCTGCCAGCAGCATCCCAGCTGCCTCGTCCTCATAGGCTAAATATGTCCGGCTGACACAAAGGCAGAGTTTTAAAAAAAATTCACTCATAGCGCATCGAAATATACCTGCTGCACACACACACAAATGAAACACACTAGTATTCATATTCAAATGAAAATTCTTATCTTTGAAATTGTGGCTCTTCCCTTTAGATGCTTTTAATGCATGTTGGAGAGACTGAAAAGTAGGTGAGCAGAAGAAGAGAGAGAAATCTAAAGAGGCAGGGAGAGAGAGATGAATGCTGAAAGGAGAATTTGGGTGAGTTCAAGGCAACATCACACCCTCTCACCAACAATTTATCAGCCCAAAAACTTGACAGACAGACTGACCGACAGACAAATTTCTGTCAAAACAGCAGTTAGAAGGAGAGAGTGAGAAGAGCGAGAAGCAGAGCAACAGGGAGAGAGAGAGAGCACTGAGAGCCAGAGAGATAGTGGGGGGCGCGTATCTATCACTCCTAGCCTTTCTTTTAATGAAACAGTGGTGTGTTTTTGGAGACAGTTACAGTTGACAGAAACACTCAAGCTCTGGCCAAGAGGTCGCATGCACACACACGCGCTGTGTTTTTATTCCTTGCAGGGACTTTACATTGACTTACATTCATTTCCTGTAGACTTATCCTAACCTTAACCATAACCCTACCCCTGACCTCACCCTAACCTTAAACCATGTTGCCACCCTAAAATTCAGTGATCAGGGATGGCCGAGTCCCCACAATGTCAGTGTGTTAACAGGTGATGGTCCCCATAATGTAAGTAAAATAAAGGCACACACACAAGGAAGACAAGCAGAGTGACAGAGAATGAGATGTCAAAGAACCCAGTGTCTCTCAAAGACCAAAGGACATGTTACACGTTTGCTGCATGGCATTCCGCATTTGTGTGTGTGTGTGTGTGTGTGTGTGTACGTACATGTGTGTATGTGCATGTGTGTAGCCTCAGGCTAGACCAGCCGGCTGCTCGCCACACTAATTCACACAAGACGAAGGTCAACCAGAATTCCTCCAAGGTCTCTGTTTCTCTCAGCCTGTCTGTCAGTCCTCATCCTCGTGTGTCTAATCCTCTTTCTGCCGGTTTTTTGTATCCATCTCTCTTTCACTTTGTAAAGAATGTATGTGTAAACAAACATTGGCAGAGTTGCAGTAAGAGTAGTACCCCAAGATATTTGTATTTTCTAACTCACAAATGACTTGAAACACTCATTCTTTTTTTAAACATACATCAAGATTTTAAATCTTGATAACATTCTAGCTTTGGTCCGTTTTCACAGTTTTCAGTCATGTGACTGGCACAGGGCCCTGGAGAGCAAAGAACCCTTTCAACATGGTGGCCAAACTGTGGATACCTGTAAATTTTCCATGTTTTCCAAGCAACGAATATTTAGATCACCTATCAACCAAAGAACAACAAAGATATGAGAACAAAGAAGAGGTTTTGCACTGCAGTATACTAAGTCCCTGCCAGAGCTCCACTCTGGCAATGTTTACATATATCTTGTGGAGAATCCCTCCCCTTACACTGGTGCCAGGATGAAAGCTTACAAAAGTACAGTCAGCTATATGTACTTTGGATGTGTATAGGCTGTAATGCTGTCATTTGGGAGGTGAAGGACAGGAGATTCTTCATTGTCAGTTGTGAGTGCCACTTAGCTAGCTAACAATCACTAACATCCATGGGTCATTAGTTTCAGGGTCACTGTAGTCAGCATTCTAGGGCAGTAATATTCTGGTCGTGTTAACACTATATCTTATGACATAAATCTAATTAAAACTTGTCCCAGTGAGTATCTGGCATTTTGGGTTAAGAAAACTGATAAAAGTAAGTGGCAGGTAGCAGAAACAAGCCTTGCTTTGCCCTCCAGGTAACGAGTCCTAAGAGGATGTGATTTCATGTGAAAACTATGATTAACATTCTTTGAGTACAATGATGTTACTGATGAAAAGGTTTTACATTGTGCAGAACAAAATGACTTCTTTTAACTGTCATTGTGTGTTTGTTGTGTATCAAATTGTCAAATAAACAAACATCAGGTGATCCCCAGTAGCTTACAACCACTGTTTTTGAAAGCAATAAGGTAGAAGTAGCTCGTGTCAAATGCTAAAAGTCCCAACACCTTTGCTTGCTATCATCAGGGAAGGAGCTGCCTGATAAGCCAACAGAAAATAAATCTGTGAATATTTATATCTTGAGTGGACATGTTGTGATATAGAACTTTGTTATGTATTATAAATATAAAAAATGATGTTTCTCCAACAATTTCCAACTGTGCCTACCTGTAAGAAACAGAAAACTTGACACTAGCCCCAATCAATGCAACATTGCAGTGTAAAAATATTAAATGTCACTCTGGAGACACAGAACAAGGCCTGTGGAAGTTACAAATATCCAATCTATGCACATCACAACTAACATAAAAGAAGCTTCACTGAATGAGGAAATCAAATATGACCCCAATCACATCGAAATCTGACCAGCAGTCCAGGGTCACAGCCCGCAACAACACTTTAAGTGTCAAAGTCAAATAGAGATTCAGTCGAAGGATGTTTGAAAACATAATAATCAAAGTGTACAGAGTCTTCACCCCAATCCACGCCTGACTTTCAGCGAGAAATTAGTAAATCAGAGTGTTTTTTTACCTACAAGGTTGAAGTGTAGAGAGTTGTTGTAAACAGTCGAGGCCACTGACCTGCAGAACGTTTGGCAAAGTGAGGAGAGAAATCAATTTCAGAGATTCATTGATCAGAGACAGAAGCCAGGCGTCATACACTGGAGCCCATTTTCAACCTTCATACTATCAAATTATTTTATTCAGATATGTATTTGAAAAACCTATATCAATGCTTTTATTACTTTTATGACATCTTGACCCACTCGTGTGTACAGTATTACCACGTGGCCACACAATCCTGTAAAAAGTACTGGAAAAGAACATATTGGAAATAAGAAATCTTTTGCCAGTCACTTGAGCAATAAACCCTTTTTGTGATCGTAAGTATGGTCTGTGTTTGTGTCCCAACACGATGTGCGAGATATAGCTGAAGCTTTTGTTTTCTCTGTATAAGAGAAGGTTCACTGCTACAGGATGAAATGTGTAGAACTGGGAGCCCATAAGTAATATTTTTATCAAGCCAACTTTGTATCCATGCTGCTTTTTGTGCTCCTATACCTCTCTCCTCCTCTTTTTCCTTTCTTGTCCTCTTCTATTTGCTTTATATATCTCCTCATTTCTTTTCCTTTGCCATCCCTCTATTCATGTTCTCTTTTCTCCTACACTATCTTTCCTTTCCTTTTCTCAGCTTCCAGTCAACCAACAAGACAATCAAATGAAGCTTTTTCATTGTTTCAGATGCAAATTTGGATTGGAATCAGAATTAAGAAAACATTTGTCTTTATACAACGTTGCTGCCTTCATAAGTGATTCATTCACACACAATAGAAGAAATGTCTCATTTTATTCAGATACAATGGCTCTTTGGCAGCATTTGTCCTTTTCCAGCTCCCCACCCATTTACATCTTAGAGGAAAAAAAACACCTAAAATCAAGTACATCCCAAAATATTCAAGAACTCTTATTATTACTAATCGTCATGCGGAGGCGCCCCCTTACATGTGCATCATGGGAAATGAGGGAGGTGTCACGAGGAGCAATGCTGTCTTATTCTCTCTGAGTGAGTGGATAAATGCTACATGTCAGCGTCATGTTTAAAGACGCGCCGCATGATATCCCCGCTTGTCACAACAAACCCCTGCAAGAAGGGCGCGCGGCTCGATGGAAAGCTGTAATTTAGAATCAAATGAATTATCTATGACTTCAGTAAGTTTGTCAGAGAGACGAAGACGTGACGGGTCAGGACAGAAAATGTTAATGTTGTGTAGTAAATTACTGCAGCTCCAAAAATTATTTCAGCTGTTGAGGAAAAGTAACAAGATGGTTGGAAGGGTCTAATTGAATTTGTAAAGTACATGGGGAGATAATAAGCTGGGAAACAGATGATGTGTTAGCTGTAGCATTTATGAAAATGACAATGCAGAAAAGCGCACAAAGGCCCTGTCAGATGGAGAAGTATCACAGAGGATTTGGAGGTGCAGTAGTGTTTCTCACAAACTTGTGAGACTGGGTCAGGATATAACAGTGAGTGGCAAAGGTGGAATATTAGTTTTATCTTGCAACAAAAAACACAATAAAACAAGTGTTTCCAGTCATAATTGGAGCCAAAATATATATGGCTGTGCTTGATTACTGGTTTTGTAGCTATATCCTGCAAAAAATGGTACATGTGCTATAAATTTAATTTCAGCAGCTGTGAGGGAAAATGTAGAGTCAAAACAGATGTGCACAGTCTTCTGATCCTTCATGCCACATTATAACTTGTCTTTATTTTTTGACTTGGATCATTTCCATGTCTATTACACACATTTAGTTCTCCCTGTGCTTGCTCATTGAGAGGTTCCCATTGTTGACATGCTGCTTTTCTGTTTGGCAGAAAGGTTGTCAGACAAAAGGGAAATGAATGGAAGAGGAGACGAGTTCAGCCTTTAGCATTTCCTAATGTGCTGTGACAAAACACAAAGAGCACTGCTCTCCTTCAGTGTTTCTTGCTTTCACTTTCACTTCAACTCTTTATCAGCATCAAATTAATTGCACTGGACAGGCCTGAAAAAAGTATCTGTCTGTCTGTCTGTCTGTCTGTCCAATTCAAGAGCAAACCACCTGTATGACTGAGATGAACCTTCACATGGAAAGAAATATAAAGAGACAGAAAAAGCAAGATCTCAAACCTTGAACCTGTTTTTGCTCATTAATCCACCCTGTAGAGATATAAAAACATTGAAATTATAGTGATGTGTTTCTTTCGCTATTAGTTTCACTGAACTATATACAAAAAAACTAGTTGTGCTGGGCTGTGAAGTGACTTTGTCTTAAGGGGTCACTCAAAATAGTAGGTAGGTTACATGATGTGCTTTGTCTGGAAAGGTACTGAAAAACTCATTTCCATCATATCATCCCCAGAATTTCATTGGACACTTGTGCCAGTCACAATTTATAATCAGTGTTGTTTATGAAGACAGAGGGAAAGAAAGGGTCTTGAGGTCAAGGTAGGTCAGATTCATGACGTAGGCAGGAGTTTGTGTGCTGTGTGTCGCGATATACCGGTATTGATACACATTGAATTTAAAGATTAAATTGGCTGGTAGCATTATTTAGTTTTTCAGGTTTTTTTGTAGATATAATGAT